AGAACTTGTTGATCCATTCTGTCTCATTCTCTAAATACTTTAATGTTGATATCCTAAGAACCTAATATCTTCTCAAGCTAAATTGTTGCTCACTTTTCATATAAATCAGAGCATGCGAAGGTAGAATTAGTAAAATCATAGATCATACACTATTACACTTCGTGTGTTCTCCTCGTCTCTTATTGTGAAACTTATCATGTCTAAAATTCATAATCCCGTTGAAATATATCTCTCAAAAATTCCAAAAACAGTCTATATATGACCCACTTAAAAAGTTTGATGGCAAAACGTGGCATAAAACCGCTTTCTGGGCACCCTTTTTGTGTGAATTATTGAAGGAAGTTACTCGACTATTCTACATATCATGAGTGATGAATAATCAAGAAGCAATCAGTTTTTAAGGTTTTTATCGTTTCAACCCAAACTTATGAATCAACATCAGGTCATATTACCTGGACTGAAATTGTTAAGTATAGGTTCACAGACTAGAACTTGAACAGCTTCAGTTCTTGTAACATTCCCTGATGATGACAAGCAAGCTTGTGTTAAAACGTCAGCAACTATAAGAATCTTAAAAACTGACTACGTTCTGGTTATTAATCACTCGAGGATTTGTGCTAATTTGCATATTCAGTTTTTGCATCAATAAATAAGTAGAAATATACAAAAACGTACTTAAAAATATGCTTCTATTGAATATTAGTGTTGCCCAAAATCGGTCTTAGTCTTGCACTTTGCAACACCAAGACCAACTCCGACTTTCTGTTGCAAGACCAAGAACAAGACTGGTAAAAAAAAAACATTTCTTGAATAAAAATTGAGGCAAAATTGTTATTAATACTTGAAAATTTTAGTTACTATTTGTAAAGAATTAATGTAACCAATATACTTTTGCATTTAACTCTAGTAATGTTTCACCAAGACTCGTCTCGTTCTGGTATTTGGGCACCACTATCGAATATGTATAAAATAACTTTGTGCAAAAAAGCGACGATATAATTAGTGTAATAATGTATGTGTAGTAGTAAAAAATTTAAATCAAAAGAAAAAAAAAATTATATGATTCCTTCTTATAGCTCAATGATTACACTCCAGCAAACTCTCATATAAATTTATGAAATATTTTCAACTCTTACCCATAAATTTATCCACAACCATTTGGAACATAAACTCCTCATTGAAACGCATATTTTATAAAAACGGACGTTCACATTAAATTAATCTGACAAATGACTTTGCACATATTTACTAAACTTGACAGCTCCCAACAGAAAAAAAAAATGTTTGACATCAGTTCATAATAATTACAGCGGAATTCCATATTTTACTAGTAACTAATTACATTTTAATTAGTTCACTTCGTTTTCGTATTGTGAAGCGGAGGAACAAAATTATACGGTCATTAGGTCCAACGTCTCAAGGTGGCCGTGGAAGCAACCTGGCGGCGTACGTACAACACATGGCATAAGCAGAATTTGCATAATGTTTAGTACTAACTAGTAAATTTTACTCCTTGCCGCCATCGGGCATATGGGAGACATTATGTAGCCTATTCAAGGGAAATTGACCAATTACGCCAGATGTGAATAATTGGCAAGGCCTCCTTCGCCGGCCTGGAATCTATTAGTCTGAATTTACTAATTTGGTAGAAATAAACAATAGCTCCAGTCAATATTAATTTGTAAAATAAAAAATTAGGTAATTATTTCCACTACTTATAAACCATCAATGTTAATTACAATAAATTTGTGGAATAAGAAACGGATTTTCTTCTAAACCTAAGCGATAAAAATTGCGCTGAAAGTCCCACCTAATTTCTAGAGAAAGTCAACTAAGAATGAAAGAATGATACCAATAAATTTGAAATTGGTTAATATTGTAGATTCGCAAGGTTATTTTATGAAGATGACACTTCCGTTAAATATGTGAGAATATATTTAATAGGCTTGAAGGGTCAAAAGTAGGTACCGTAAGATGGGGTAACTTTGGGACTGGGTTGGTACCTTTGGATTAGCGAGTAAAATTTAATTTGTGGTGATTCCGTGTTTCGGTTCAGTTCTGTGTTGGTTCAGTCTGCAAAAACGTGTTTTGTGTAGGCTTGTACTGCGACTTGCTAATACCTTGCGACAGTCTTAGAACCTCAGTTCACTACACTTGTTGTGCATTTAGGGTTTTGTTTATTTCGATTGCTTTTTTTCAAATTCTTGTTTTCATGAAACTTTCTCTTGTGCCTCGGAAACTGCAAACATCATATTACGGAAGTATTAATATCGGTCATCAAGAAATCGGCTTCTAATCGGAACTGACCTTCAACGCCTGATAAAATTCACAAGTCATAGTACAAATTGGCAAAAAAAAAAAAAGAAAGAGCTTCAAGTTTACAGCTATCTCTTGGCATCAGTTAACAAAAGCTAAATTGTACAAAGCGTTTGAATAATGTTTGTAACATTTTCTGTTTGTTCAACAAATTTTCAGGGCCTAATTATTTTAAAAGAATAAGATTTGAAATCTTTTTGTACGATTAATACGAATTCATGTGCTCTTAAATATAATATTTTTGGGTAAAATTGGTATACTCTCATTTTCTTTGTTGTTTCTTTTGTAAATTATGAGCCTATTCAATATTGTGGAGTAACATTGGTACGGAATCATGTTTCCTGCTGTTTCTAATGGAGATAATGCACTGTCCCAATTGTACCCCAATCAATGGGGTAAGATTAGGACTAATTTAAATTTGTTTTAGTGAAATACTCTTGTTTCTAGAGTTATTGTTCTGTCATATTTTTAAACGGAAGACTGATCTCACATATTTATAATTTTAACTTTGAAAATATAGATAGAAGCAGCTTGAAACTTTGAAAAGTGTCCCAAAGTTACCTCATCTTATGGTACTCATTTTATAACATTTGATCAGTATTTGCGAAAGTTTATTTCATTTTATGCACTGTCGGATCCATGGGGGGAGGGACATTTTGGACTGCAATTTGGAAACCACTCTTGTTTACTCCTACTCTGACAACGGTTGTATGGTGTATGGATGACTGTTTGCGAGACTGGAAATAAGACTGAAGAGACTCATGAATCCCTTCATAAGATTAATCTGTGGGATTTCTATGCGTTCTCATGTATCCTGCTGGTATGCCGAGTTGAAATATCTCTATTCTACTTCCAGATGGCTACTCCTAGCTCTATGTTCCTCCACCCCCTCTCTTTATATCTGATCTCAAACTATAGATCTAAATCTCTCCTCCCACAAAACCACTTACTTCAGCAAATCCTTCGTCATTCGTGCTACCACTTTTTTGGAACTATTTGCCTGTCTCCGTATGAAAATTCTTTGCCCATCTACTATCTATCATCTTCAAGCTTCCGGTAATTATGTAAGAATATTTAGGTTTTTTAATTTTAATTTCTCATTAACAATTAACTGAAAAATGTCATTTGAATTTATTTATTTATTTTTTGAAATTATTTTTGCATCTGTTATTTCATCATGACAGACTACTGAACATATTTCCTGAATTCTGTTATTATTCTTAGAGGAATTTAATTCTAGGATAAAAATTATTTAATTAATTTTCATGCATTACAACTATTTGTCACAACCCTGTGAAAGAACTTTGAATGTTGAATATTGAGTTATTCTTAGTAGACCAGAATGATTATACTTTTTTCCTACGTAGTTTTCCTGATATAAGTGAAACAGCTATAAACATAAGGCAATTTTTTTTTTCTATTTTAGCCCTAGTAGAGCTCTGATATCTCAGAATATTGAAAATTGTATCAAATTTAATTTTGTATAGAACGTCTTTGTCAATGGGATGGATAGTTTTCCTGATACAAGCGAAATTTTGAAAAAAAAGTGACCTAGGCGCCCATCCTCTTCTGGCTCACCACCTAGGAGTGGGGACTTTTGGCATGTTTACCTTCTCACTAGTCCAAACAATGTCCCGAAGTCAAAAATTGTGTCCCTGCAATTTCTTTCCATAATCATTCATTGACTGGACTATATTTATTCATAGGTCTCAAAATTGTCAAGTTAGTGTTTACACCAATATGAATAAAGTTATTTATTTATTTTTAATTTGAGAGAAGAGGAAGTTATAATGATGCTAAAAATAAGAAAATAATTCTGATTAATAAAAATAATTATGTATCTTAACGCATTAAATAATATCATTGTTTTTTTACGATATATTGTGATGATTTGCAAGTAATAAATGAAATAATTTTTAAAACCAATCCCACCATATCCTTTAACAATATTCCTCTGATCCCTGTCGAACAGATCCGTTACTTTGGACTCCTAGACAAACGCCTTACCTGGAATCCTCATACTAGACTTAAAAGACAAGAAACTGCCTACAGATTCGGACTACTACAACACTTACTTGACAAACGCTCTAAACTTCCAATATTCTACAAAAAAACTCATTTACACTACCATCATCTGGCCCATTTGGACATACGGTATTGGCTTTGGGGCTCTACAAAAGCATCAAAGTCTTCCCGTATCCAATCCTTACAATCCAAAATCCTCCGTAAAATCCTAAATGCTCAGTATTATGTAACAAATAAAAATTATCCATAAAGAGCTCAACATTCCTCTTGTGGAAGACTTAGCCCGAACTAGATATACCTCTTTTCATTCCAAACTCTATGGTCACCCCAATCCTCTAGTTTGTAACATTTCATCCAACACAATTCCTGACAACCCTCCGAGGCGTCTGAAAAGAAGATGACCAATAAATTAATTTATCTTTGAAGTGTTACCAATTGGTAGCTTTTTCACAAGTACCTTCATGTAATATGTTCATATAGCAAATTTACTGGTTTTATATATGTTTACAGTTGTAAATTTTAATAAAACGATAATAAAGAAATTAGATACATTTGTTGTATTAAAATAGTTTTGTTTGCTCATATGTATTATAATATCATCCTAAACGCCCGGTGAAGGACATGTCAGATCCAATAATAGCTGGTGTAGGCTGCCTGAGTCAGAAGAAGCAGAGGTCAGAGCAAGAAGCGGATAGCTCACATCCTCCCATTGACGAGAGGGCTGGAAGGAATGGCGTCCTTGGAGGATAACCTTGGTTCCGCCTCAGGATCACGAATGTGCCTCCTCGGTCCGGGCTAAAAATGTGCCTGCCTAGTAATCATAATCTCCTCTGATGAGATCATTCCTTCATTCCTAGTGTTCTTTCAATCAGCTATTGTTGATTCTGCGGTATACTCAATTATCGATGCTGGATATCGTTCCTTAAACACACAATTTTTAGCATTGATACAATAGATCATCGTTGAACACATTTACAATTCAAAGAGTATTCAACATGAGACATTTAAGCTATACCTGTTTAGAGTATATATTTTCCACAGTATTTAAGATGTTTGACGTTTATATTATCTATTTAAACTTTAGTTAATGCCTCACAGGTCAGAATTGTACAAATAAAAAATAACTAATTTTTTTTTATTAATACGTTTCGGGGAATCTATGTCCCCCTCTTCAGCAATATGTTACTCTCCAAAAAAATAACTAGCAGAAATTAATCTTTATTTTTATAATTCTGAGCTGTGTATATTTTATAATTGTATATTTTCGTTTGAGCGTGCTGTTTACAGCTTTAAACTTTTTTTATTTATTTCATGAAATTTACAACTGTATAAACAATACAACTAGTAAAAATGCATACATTAGAAATCATGACATGAACAGACTTGAAGAGATAATGCCCAGTGGTAGCACTCCCTATTTAATTCTAGGTGAGAAGATCACGAGGCCATCTTCTTTTCAGACGCCTAGGGAGATTATCAGGAATCGAGGAACAAGCAAGGCTGGGAACAAGTGGATTCGGATGGGACTAGAGTTTATCATGAAAGGATAGGTATCTGGCTCGGGCTAAATCAGCGGCATATGGGACAGTAAGGTCTTTATGAATGGTTTTATTTGTGACAAAATAAGGAGCATTAAGGATTTTGGATTTTAAGGATTGGATACGATAGGAATTCCATGGTTTGGTAGAGCCCCAAAGCCCAACTTCCTTATGTCCATATAGGTCTTATTACAGTTAAGTACATGAGTCTTTTGTAATTAATTGAAAGTTTAAAGCGTTTGTCTTCTAAGTGTTGGAGCAGTCGGGCTTTAAAATTTAGTCCATTAGTTTATTCTAGTTACCTCTACGGCTTCATAGAGTATTATGTCATGACTTCATAGAGTATTATATCATAACTTCATAGAACATTATATCATGACTTCATAAAGTATTATACTTTTAAATCATGACCATCATATCAACCATTGAAATGAGCTTAAAAAGTATTATAATGATATAATAATAATAATGCTTTATTTATTCTGGGACAAGTCCCTTTAGAATAATATAAAAAGACAATAATATGGGCTAAGGAGCCTTAGAGATACATAAACAAAAATATAGAGTAATTAAATAGTCAAAATAAAAAAAATAATAGAAGAAATTATAAGTTAGTTACTAATTTAGATCAGTTAAAAATAAAAAAACAAAAAATAGAAAATAAACATGAAATAAAAATAATGAAGAACGCTCTAATAATTTATATACATATTTACAGTAGTAACTATTTACAATTTTACTTTTCTATACTATTACAATAGTAGAAAGGAATAATTGGGTAGGGAAATCTGGGAGTAACGGATAAAAGGTTTTAACCAGGTTTCGGATATTGCTATTATGTGGTAAAAATTATCAAGGAAATGTTCCTGGAATTCATTCAAGTGTGCAGTAAGGGATTGTGCATTGATGTGACAGGAATTCAGGATATTAGTCATGACTGGAGGGTTGGGAAGTAGGATTTTTTGAAAAAAAAAAATGATCAAGGATGGAGGATAGGATAGAGCATTTTTTAAGCATAATGTCAAGTTTATAAATATAAAAAAACAATGCTTACATAAGATAAACTTTGAGATGAAAACAATTAATTTTCGGTGTTTCGAAATAAATATTCAGTTAAAATTAATTTATAACATAAGAAAATATAAATTTCTCCTTGGTCTAGATAAATTAATAAAAATTGGCAAGGAATCGAATGAAGTTCTAAATAATTTATACAAAAATAAAAGAAGCTTAAAATTAAAATGATAATATTTCTGATGAGTAAAAATTGATACAAAAATAAAAAAACAAGAGAAGCTACATTTATAAAAAAATAAAGAAAGCTGGAAATGAAAAAAAATATAATAAATATATTTCTAGCGAGAGAAAGTAAATTAATTGCAAGCTGAAGGTAACTTATATACTAAGTTCAGCTGAAAACGTCCAGATCACTTGGTTTTTCTATTATTACTACTGGACCTCCATCTGATTGTCTGCAATGAATTTCACCCCCACTGACGTATCTTATTTTTGCTGACACCCTCTTCTGCCTGGCTAACCAATAAAGGTGTTTATTGGTGGGTGTCATGGCTTCACTCACGTAGACGCGGTGCGAGTCGTTCTCTCCCCAGCCTAGATGGGGTGTAGAGAAATCTCTCTTCGCTCTTCGTTACATATACATATACATATACATCCTGACATTAATAATAATACTCCTCGGCATTCATCCTGCACCATTTGAACAAACGGCCCTGATGATGGCTGAAACGTAGGCCGTATCCTCTTTACAAAGGACAAAAATAAATCATGGGTGACGTTTTGGGTCAATGTAAGAACAAATTAGAAGTAAATAAGTTACATTTATTTTTGTCGGTGGAAATTAGTCGAATGTTCTACATACCATGGATGATAAATATTCAGGAGGCAGTGATTATAAAGTTTTTATTAGTGCCGACGTTTCAACCCAAACATGTGAGTAATCATCAGGGCGTGTTTAGAGAACTGAAGGTATTCAAGTACCGAAACACCTCGATGATGAGCCACATGTTTGGGTTGAAACGTCGGTACTAATAAAAACTTTATAATCACTGCCTCCTGAATATTTATCATCCATGGTATGTAGAACATTCGACTAATTTCCTAAGACAAAAATAAAGGTAACTTAATTACTTCTACTTTGTTCTTTCATTGACCCAAAACGTCAACCAACTTGTCATTCATTTAAAGAACAAATCTGATGTTGGCCTGAAACTAAGGTTTCAGTTTTTTCTCAACTTCTCTACACTCTGTTATTTCTTATTCGCCGCAGACTCCTTCATTACATTCTGTCCTCACATATGATAATGTACATACAAGAACTGAGTCCTGAGCCCTGTGGAGGAAGATCCGCATGGTTGGGTCGATACGTCGGCTAACCCAATAATAAAAAATAGTATTGAAATTCCTGACAGTTTTCGTTTCATCCTTATAAATGACTAATCGACTATTTACTCATCTGTACGTATTTTTAAAATTTGTGTAGCGTTCGGGAGCCTTTCACTACACATTACAACCTCTGACAAAAAGATTTCGTTCCGGCATATCAACATCCTTTTTTGTCCGTCCGCTGTCTTTTTTTTGAGGGGAGGGGTTGTGTCATCCCCTTTCTCGCCGTTAAGGCTATACGGGTTTTCCCGGGCCAGGTAGTGTGGGCGGGGATTTAAAAGACTCCCTCGGCACCGGGATGCAACCTCGTGACTATTTTTATATCATTTGATTGATATATCAGGTTGTCGAGCAACGGCGGTGCTGTGCACACGCATTAGCCCATTTGGCCACCCCGCCCACTCCGTCCGCCGTCTTATTTATTTATTTAAATCTCTGCCCTGCCAGTTTGGCAATACGAGTATTTGCAGTATTGGATAGCTACACGTGTGTGCATAACTAGCCAATACTGCAATCGATACAATAAGATTTTCTGTTTAGCTTGGCTCTTCCATCCTCTGTGGTGGAGCTTCTTCTCTTCTACCCAAATAGAAGTGGGCTGGGCCAATGATGTCTTTCCACCCGTACACAAAGGCCTTGTAGTGCGGGTAGTTCTCTCTGGTTACTAGCTGAGGTAGATCGTGTTCTGTTAAGACATAGAGCCCAGTCTCCCTCAGCAACTTAGCCCTCAATGCCTCATAGGCGGTACAGGCTAATAAGACGTGCTCGGCGGTCTCCGGTACCCTACAACTTGGGCATAGGGGATCAATGTTCTTACCATGTTGAACAAGCTTTGCTCGGAATCCCCCATGCCCCGTGAGGAATTGCGAGACCCAATAGTCCGGGAGGAGCCATGTAGTTTCCATTCTTGAACCGACGGTGGGGAAGTATTTCCTTAGGGTTGATCCTTTTGGCGTTGTCATCCAACGCCGGTTCCATTCTTCTAATGTGCATTCCCGGAGAATCCTCTTCCATCTGCTTGGGTCTTCAATGATCCTCACTCGGAGATTAGCCGGTAGATCCACCAAGCCATCTCTCTTCATTTCGTGCCGAAAGTAGTCTTCACGAAGTTGAAGATCGATTGGAATACTTCCGGCTAAGACTTGTACCGCCTCGTGAGATACTGACCGGTACGCCCTAGTGACACGCAGCAGAGCCATACGCTGGATCGTCGCCAACCTTTTCTTCTGTTGGTGCGAGAGAGTCTGACTCCACGCAGGGGACGCATATCTCAGGATACCCAAGATAACTCCATTATAAATAGCCAAGGTGGCTGGGTATCTGAGACCCCAAAAGGCGCCCCCGATGCGACTCAGTCCATTAAGAGCCAGGACCACTCTACTTCTCAGATAGTCCAAGTGAGGGGTGAAGTTAAACTTTCTTCCAGTCCTTATCCCAAGATAGGTGACCGCCTCACTTGGACGTACCGTTTCTCTCTGTATATTCAGAGTGATAGGGTGGGCCCTGTCAGTCTTACCCCTCAAAAGAACGGACTGAGTCTTTGAAGCCGCCATCTTCATCTTCTTTCTCTCGCACCATTCTCCTACAAGGTTGGCGCACCGTTCAGCCTCTTCCTTTAATCTGGCTCTGCTGTTCGATGCCACCACGACTGCGAGATCGTCTACGTAAGCAGTGGCGGGGAACCGCTGCTCTTCCAGTACTCCCAGCAGCTCGTCAAATACCAGTTTCCACAAGGCTGGACCTAGTACAGATCCTTGTGGGCATCCTCTTTCTACAGAATTCTCTACAGCAAAGAAGTTACCTTTTATCATTAATTTACGGTCTTCTAGATAGCTTCTTAAGAGGTCGTACAGGTTGCTAGGAGCTTCATACTTTTGCAACTGCTGGAGTACACTCGGCCACCAAACGCTATCGAAGGCGGAGGATATATCAAACAGGAGAAGCATTACATACTTCTCCGCCTTCTCTTCAACGTCACGGCGCACCCTGAGCAGAGCATCTGCGGTTCCCCTACCTTTAGTGCATCCGTACTGTCGTGGATGGCTAGCTCTTAAGAAGACTGGTCGTAGACTCCTCATCAGCAAGGTCTCCAACAATTTACTCATTATAGGAAGGAGACATATAGGCCTATATGACTTCGCTAACTGCTTGTCCTTATCTCCTCCCTTATAAAGGAGTCTAACATCAGCAATCTTCCATATTTTAGGGAAGTAACCCCTGTCTAGGCAATCATTGAACAATGCTAACAGCCTTTGTTCAATGTAGGGGATACTATTCCTTAGTATTGCTGTGTCTATCGAATCCAAGCCAGGAGATCGACCAGTCCTTTGCCTATCCACGGCAGCACGGAGATCCCAAATGTCCCATGGTGGGCATAGGTCCGTACCTGGTGGGCATACCGTAGTGCGTCTAATGTATCTCTCCTCTTCATTATCTTGGGACGGATCATCCCTGGGGTAGGTTTCCGCAATGAACGTTTTTGCCGTCTCCTCCAGAGTGGTTGCCTGAGTAGCTCCGCGTTTCAATGTGGCTATTACCTGTTGTGGATTTAACTTACCCAAGGCAACTCTGTAAGGGATACCCCAGGGGTTCTTGGACGATTCTTCAATAATGAACTCGTCCCAAGACTTCCTTTTTCGAGAGCGCACTTCGTTTCGGTATGTTCTGGACTTGGACCTATACTCGTCGCGAAGTGTGTCGCGCCTCTCCTCACTACCACACTTTTGATAGGACCGCCGGGCCTTGCAGAGCTCTCTCTTCATAGCAGTTAAAGCCGGCGTCCACCATGGGATAGGTCGAGCTCTCACCTTCCGTTGCTGGAGGGATTCCTCAGCGGCGTCACGGATGACATCTGTGATCCTAGAGACCCTATAATCTAGACTATCTGTCTGGTCCGTCTCCGCTTCATCCCATTCTTCATCTACTAATTTTTCCTCCAGCGTTGACCTGAAGGCTTTCCAATTTGCCCTTCGGGTTACATAACCCATAGCGATGCCGTGGGAACTTTCCATATTTTCCACCAGCTTAAAAGCTATCGCTTGGTGGTCGGAACTCGTCTCAGATCGTAGGATCCAATCGTTGATGCGACTCGCTAGCACCGGTGATGCTAGTGTTACATCAATCCAGCTCTGCCCTCGAGCGCTAGAAAACGTTGGCAAGGCAGAGGGATCATTCATTACCACTAGCTGGCTTCGGCCAATGAATTCTCCGAGTTTAACGCCTCTTCTATTCGTTTGATTGGATCCCCAGACCGTGTTCCAGGAGTTGGTATCTGAGCAGATGATGATGTTTCTATAGCAAGCCGTGATCATCTCCATGGCGGATATGTCGTTGTCTATATCACCTCCGTCAGGGAGATATGATGAAACCAACGTAAAGGTAATATTACCCCATTTGATATAACATGCGACACAATCCGCCGTGGTAAACTGCCTCAGATCCATCACATCGAGGTTTGGGTTATTTACCACTATAGCTGCCCTGGGCCTCCTCTCTCCACTGCTCAGGGCTATAATCCTCGATGTGAGGCCAAACCCCGTGACCATGTTCCCACGGCAGCTCGGTTCTTGAATCGCCATAACATCATAACGTCCAACAAGAGCCCTCAACTCATCCGCTACGATGCGACGACGGCCCATGTTGAGCTGGAGAATGGTGATATTATTCATAGTAGGTCCTCTTAGCCACCTCATTTGACCATCTTAAGTGTACAGGGCACTCTCGGCTGCCCGCTTTATGCTTCGTTTGGCTTTGCGGTGCACTCGCCCGCACACAGTTAATACAAGTCGGGCCAGTTTGTTCCTTCTTCCTTGGACAGTCCTTGAGTATGTGTCCATTGGCTGCACACCATATGCATACAACGGTATCCACCGTACAGGTAGCCTTCGTGTGTCCATAGCCTTGGCACTTTGTGCAACGAGGGGCGTCGAGGTAATCCTTAAACGTCATGGACCACCATCCTCCATCTAAAGCTGCCATTTCCAACAGCTGGAACCTCACCATTGGGTGAACTTCGAGTACCCAGTTCCTACTTAGTGCATTCCTAGATACTGAGGATAATAATGGCCGTATATCATCATTAATGAGTGAAGTAGGGACTGACTTCTCGTTTATTCTTCCCCACAAAAATCTCGTTAATTCAGCTGAGCCCCATGAGTGAGGGACACCCCTCACCTCAATTTTAGGTTTCTTTCTTTGTGCTAATTTTGCCTGAAAACCTTTCTCCCGTAACCCCTGCCAACCAATTATTTTAGTGGCATGGGTACTGTCTTCTAATCGGACTAAAACGGAACCACCTTTGGTTGCTCGAACAATTTCAGCCTTAACACCTATTTCTGTGGGGGAAGGCAGGGCATTGATAATGTCCACCGGACTCTTACCGGTACCGCTAATAGTAATAAACGCCGGCTTGAGGGACTGAGTAGGTTTTAAAGGCAATTTTCGTACTATTTCGGCCAATGACTTCGGCTGATTTGGACCGGACCCAGTCAAAGATTCCGCCTCTGTCTTATGCGTTTCATTTTCAGTTTGTAAGCTTTCGGGACCGGTAGACTTTTTAGTCTTTTTCCTATTTCTTTTGCTCTTAACGACTGTAAAAGGAACTGCGGCTGGTAAAGGCTCAGGCGGGGTCACGTTAGTCGCGGATGACTTTTCGTTGCTTTTTCCAGGGATGGCGAGGGGACCATTAGATTTCATAGTGGTTCCTGAGAGAGATTCTATTACCTTCGGCACTGTTTTCTCTATTACGATGCTGGTTATCATCGAATGTACTGAAGGTGAGGTAAGTGTTTCCTGAACCGCTTTATGGACAAGTAAAGATAAGCCCTCACTCTTATCTTTGTACTGCTTTGTCCTTTCCTCCAACGATTCAATAGCGTCAATGAACCACTGTATTTTGCCATTAATGTGGTTTTGGTCTTTATTTTTTATACTTTTGTCAGCTTTAGTAAGGTATATTCGGAGGTTTTCTTGAATTATCTTTGCTTTTTGAAGGAAGTCATTTGAGATTCCTACCTCAGAAGCTTCTGCGTTATCACCAAGAGAAACCTTTCTCGCCCTTTTTGCGGTTGAACGTGAAACCCTTGGAGGGTCCCCTTCTTCCCTTTCATCTCCCTCCATGTTGTCTATAATATTACTCCTGGACAAGTCTTTAAAGAGTAGACACTTAATAACTTAAATAGTATCAGTAATAATATTTCTTATCACTTAAACAGGTTATACTTACAAATTTATTTTTTTTTACACAGATTCAGTAATGTTAATTTCTGTGTGCTCCCTGGGAAGGTCTTTTAGAGATCTTCTACTCAATATAACACTCGGAACTCAAAATTTTTCAAACAAGAACTCCTTTTACGAAATTTATACTACTTAACCTCTCCTGTCCAAACTTCAATCTATGTACACTATTTACACTTACAACTATTAACAACAATAAAAAACATGATAAAACACTAGAAAACAATAAGATGGCTATGAACAATTAGAACAAAACGAAAATACAAAACACTGCCTCAAAAGATAGCTCTTTAGTAGACCGCAATTAATCACAGTAACCTCGCTATCTCCTCCGTCCGCCGTCTACCGTCCGCTCATTTTCTCCGAAACTAATGGACCGATTTTTTTCAAATTTGGATTTAAAATCAGAGGTCACCCGAGGATGACCCTCCTTCATCGACATTACTATTCGTCATTTACTTTCAAAAAAGCGGCCGAAAAAACTTTGTTGTCATAGACGGTAGCGCCGAAACGAATCTACCGATTTCAATGAAACTTGGCTAAAGTCTTCTTCTTCATGCCATTTAAATTTATCTATATAACATACTTCAACGAAAGGAAGCTAGAAACAAAGTTACGAGGGATGGTAAAATTACATTCCGAATAACTCAAAAAGTATACACTTATTTGTCCATGTTTTTTTAAAAGTTTACGAAATTTCATTTAAAAAAAATCGTTAAAATCGGACAATTAGGAGCAAAGGTATGGTCTCTAGTTGTTATGTTCTACTGCAGATTCTTTGTTTTTGGATTTTGATTTTTTAATGCGTTATTGAAGTAATACTACTTTTTTTTTTTAGCAAATAACTAATGATGAAAACAAATATTCATGCAAATAATTGGAATAAACGTTTTATTTATTTTAATTTTACCCATTGTGAAATAATTTTTTTTTTTTAATTCAAATATTTTTTTGTTTTAATAGTCATACATTTTGAATCTTTCCATTTGGCTTTTTTTATATTTATTTGTAGGTTTAGTATTTTAAGGCTCATTTAATTGGGTTTGAACAACCTCCCATACTTGCCAGCTGCCTTTGATATACAACTTCTTTTTCACTCCCATCATACATGTTGGATAAGGCAGGAGATCCAGGGATGATAAGTTTCCCAACTACTGGAATAGTGGTGCTTCCTAATTGGCAGTGGGAAGGAGAACTCTAACAAGCTCGGCGATTTGCAGCCTCTGACAGCAGCTATCAGCTTCTCGGGCAGAACCGCGAGAACAGCTTCGTCTTTCGTCTCACTGATATTTATATGAAGGAGGAATTTATAAAAAGGCACTTAACAACACCTGAATTGGCAATAAAAAAATCCTTAAATAAATAGATAACATGCGTATTCAGGGGAACCATATTTGGGTAATGAGGTCTGGAGGTTTTGTAGACACCTTGTAACTTAGTCGACCTACCTGGAAACTTATCTGGAAAGAGTTATTTGCTAATTATGACATTCCTACACTAATAGCTATTAGAACGTTTAGGCCGTACATGGAACTGTTTATGCCGGCTAGATCAGCTGCCTAGATTGCTATTAATGAATGATACAACCGGTGCAATAAATAACCGGTTATTTATTGGTAGATAATATTTCTTTATTGGGACGGTGCCATGAGAAAATAAAGAAAGATTCAGACTCATGATGATTTGAACAGTAAAGGCCTACACACAGAGTGCGATTCGATATTCCTGTCGTATAATGCAGGAATATTTTAAGGAACTATACTCAATTTGAAGCAACTTCCTAACCAGAGAACAAGGGGGCAGGATGGCCAAGTGGAAAAAATCCGTATAGTCAAAAAGGCCTGGATGGGGAGAAATAAAGAACAAAACCAGGAAACAAGGAAAATATTTTGAACTGACCACTCCAATTGTAATTATATATATAATGTTACAATATCAACAATTTAGCAATATAATTTTTTGGGTGGGAAGAAGTATGTGCCATTGTCCTTTAGGAGATAGGTACCCCTATATGTCTATGATAATATATATGTGTGTATTAAGTTTTGAAAATATAAATAAAAAAGCTAGTATGTTATAAGCTATATAGCATATTTCGATTTTCATATCTCAATTGTCTAGCCAGATTATTAATGTAATACAAATTCTATGTTACTTTTCGCAATACGTGAGAATACGCATAAGTACTCAGTTTTGTTTCCATGTATGCCATTGTTATTAGGGTACCATAATAATGAAACATTTGTTTTATTATAGATTTCGTGCGAAAATTAAACCTCAGGTAGTGACTTCAGTCTTTGAGAAAGATATGAGCCAGAAGATTTATACGCTACATTACCAGGGAGCTTTCCAGATGCCATTTATTATAAACACGTTTCCTTCCGAAAAAGCAGTAATGGCTGTTAGTAGGTGTGCGACGAAAGCCTAAATTAGACAGCGGCAAGACGAATCGCTTCCATCGGCTCCTTTAAGAGGTGTGAAAGAGAGAAACAGATGAGAAAACACCCCTATTTTTACCACAATGGGCTATTTCTCTTAGGGGATGTAAAGAAGAGGGCTTCTTAAAAATACAAACCTCATCAGTACTTACACGTGAGAGGCTTTTTAAGCTAAAGTATTTTTGTTTACGAATTTTTTTTTTTTTTTCTATTTTTCCCAAATCCATGTGGAATAACTTTGAATTTAAACAAATATACAACAACACGTTTATGTGTTCTTAGATGACTCATCTTTTTTTCATAAAACACTATCCAACTAAATCTAATGTTTGTTTCTCCTCTAACACATACCATCGACGATATTCTCTGGGGTGACCTAGGAACCTCAGAATTATTCTTATTCGTTTACCTTTTCAAGTTCGAGTATGTCGTAAACTATAATTTTTTTAATTATTAATAATTAATAATTATTAATATTACAACATTCTGTCACTTGGACATTGGTTATAGGTAAGATGACATTCACACTATATGCACAAAAAAATAAATTAATATATAAACAGAAGCAAAATAACAGCTAAATAATAATTTAAAAAAACATCTACAATAAATAAAATAAAATAAATTAAAAATAACAAAATTGAAAAATAAATAAATAAAATAAACATACATAAATATATAAATTATTTACAGTCAGGCGAGAGAATCCGGGGTAGACTTTTCCTTTCAACAATGGAGGGAAAAGCACGACTCCAGGAGATCCATGCTCTCTAGTCTCTCAACCGCATCAGTGGTACTAAAGCCAGATAGACCATAATTAATAAATAATATTTTAATTTTTAAAATCCTAAATAAAACATGATCAAGATAAATAAGACATGATATTGCTCTGAGAGCACACTCACACCATATTTACCAAAGAACAAATAAATAAAGTAATAACAATACCTAAAATACACAAAAAAAAAGAATGAAATAACATAAGGAGAAAAAAATATATATATAAAATTTAATTTAAATTTATTTATATATATATTTATATTTTCAATTTATATATATATATATATATATATATATATATATATATATATATGTATATATATATACATACATATACATATATATATATATATATATATATATATATATTTATATTTATTATATATATATATATATACATTTATTATACATATTTATATATATATATATATATATATATATATATATATATATATATATATATATATATAAATTTAAAAAACTAAAGTGTGTGGTTTAGACCACACGATATAGAAGTGAAAACATCAACAAGGCGAGATTAATAATACGAAATATAAATTATAAATAATAACTCATTACAAAGAGGATGAAATGCTAAAAATTTTCCTTGCTTACAATATGCAGGTCCGATTTTTAGTTTATAAGATATTTCAATCCATATCTTTCATAAAGCTCGTTATCATTTGGTTTTCGACACTATTTTTTCCTTTTATTCTCTCTAACACGTCGTCGCGTTAAGATACAATTTCGAATAATGGCCCATTACAGAGAGGATGAAATAATGAACATCTCTCTCGCCTATAATATGCAGATCCGATTATTAGATTTTGAGATATTTTAAATACAAAAACACTTCAATTAGTCTACTCCAGCAGACTTTACCCGAGCGTTACACATCGGAGACGTGGCGGCTCAATCTAATTCACTCTTCACAAAAAAAAAGTGCAAACATTTCCTAAATAAGTGGTTACTTAAAAAGAAGGAATAAATTAAATTAAATTTACCATAAAAATTTAGCAATTTGGGACTTATTCACAAATTCCCTTTCATTTGAGACCTCTGTCATCAAAATCAGTCTCTGTTGAGGATCACAAGAAAAATATTACTAATAATTTAAAATAGTATTATATTATTAAAAGGTATACTTTTATTTATATTATTTTATTCATATATTTTTATTTCGGACGCGAAACAGCCCTGAAGGGCTACGCGACTATGATACTGGTTTCTTTTTCAATTTCTTACTTTCTGCCCATCTCTGCTTGAGGATATCGCTAAATTTTTTCTTCCTATCTTCCGTCCACTTCCTCCTGGACGGAAATTCCTTACTGTCCACCACATGCACCACACTTTTCAGGAATTTCTTGTATTCTCTCCTATCCTCGCATAATTCCCGTGTTCCCCCCAAGCCTCTGTATTTCCAAGTTTTATTTGTACCATTTATCTATGGTTAAACTTGTATCCCATAACCCTACTGAAAAATCTTCTTGTTCAATCTCTCCTCGGTCATCCTTATGTAATGTGATTTGTAATCATGTAATTAATAAATGTAGGAGTTTTTCAGTATAGAGATGTTTAATCATTTATTTGGTTTTCAATAAACTAGTTTCCGAAATTTGAAACTGATTTAGAACCACGTATTTGACTTTAGTTAACAATTCTGAATTTGCAGGTTCGAATTCCGTCTCTCTTGTTTACTGAAACGAGCGGAACAAGACAACACAAGTGAGACCGATGGTGGGAAAGTTGCCTTCAGACATTATTGGTGGTACTTACCGTTGAAAATGGCATATTTGTTGTCACAAGGGTTGTTTACGAGGGGACTGTTAAGGATGATCCCGCTCCCGACTCCCCCAGATGGCAGTGGGTGGCAGGTAGCCTGTCGGTCAGTCGTTGGGGGCGCCGGGGTGTCTCTTCTCGGACCTTCCTAATCCTGCTGGGAAAATTTGGAGGCGGCCAGATGTTGAGCACAGGTGTCTCTGGGCCAGTCACACTTGACTCTGGAGTGGCCCAGGGGGACTTTTGTCAAATATATTTTTATGGTTACTCCTGTAGTCGTTCCCCGCTGATGATCGAAAAGTCACGTACAACCAAGGAACTTCTAAATTACTGCTGCCAATGGATTGTTTTTTCACCAGCTTCTGTCATGTTTTATATCATAATAGCACATTTACATGTTGTATTTTATTCGTACATATGTAAATTTTAATAAATGAACAAAATATAAAAAATATTTTTTTCTTGTGCCTATGTATAATTAAAATTTTACAGTTGCGTGGTATCGTTATCGCTGAAGATTAATAAATATAATATACCTATTTAAATTTTTTTTTTGACATTTGGTGCCCTTTGGTAATTAATCCATGAAGTATCTGTGGCTGTTATAATGTTTAATTTAAAAATTATACTGTTGGACACTAATCAACATCCTAGAAAAAGTGTTGAAAGATTTGAGAGGAAAATCTTTCGTAAGATAACAGGAGCGATCTGGGATCAAAGTACTAACAATGAAGAAGAAAGACCAATAAAGAACTGTTTGCAGAAACTGGTCAATCAAGATCCCATGATATGAAGGCAAGAAAGTTAAGATGGGCGGGACATGTAGCTGGTAGCAATCCATCTGGATGCCTCTACTTAATGCCTCAATAGAAGGCAAAAGACCACGTGGAAGGTCAAAAAACATATGGATAGATAGAATCAACAAAGATGGAGCAGAGCTGAGTATAGATAAATGGAAAGAAATAACCCAAGACAGTCAGAGATGGAGCAGGCTTGTTAAGGAGGTAATAGATATACATGGTCTGTAATGCCAACAGAAAAAAATAAAATTAAAAAAAATATATTGATGGAATCCGTATTATATTAAGATCATGTCACGTATTGAACCTATTATAACTATTTTTATATCTGAGTTTAATGTTAAATGGGTTATAAAAAAAAAACAATCTTGTGTGGTGCGCGCATCACTCAATTTTCACTTCCCACCCTCTTCCTAGCAGAAATAAGTATTTTCAGACAAAGGGGAACTGAATGTAAAAATTACAAACGCTATATTGATTTATATCCCATTGTGAATATTTTTATTTGTTTAAGTACCCTCATATATACAAATTGTAATATTGATCTCTCTTAATATATACAATTAAGCATTAAATAATATTAACGAAAATATTTGGAAAAACGGATATGAATATGTAAATAATATTGTCGGAGTTTTATATTAAGCTCATATTACATAAGGTAATAATCTTCGGGCAAGTTCGGATGAGCTCGACCGCGATCGTACCTCTTTGGTTCCTTCATTACAACTATTCTCTTTTACGATCTCTTATTTATTATGTTTTATATTAGAAATCAATGCATAATGGTTAATTGTTTCAAATAAAAAAGATTAAAGTTAATTTAGGGAAAGCTAATATTGAAAATTAGCCATTTTAGCCCTGTAAGGGAACATCAAAGATAATATAACATACATAATATTAAAAACTGCTTAATTTTACACTGACATAAGGAATTTAATCAAAATCGTTACAGCTGTTTTCGACGAAATCTCAAAAAAGTGTATAATCGATTATATAAAGTGCAACTTCCGTTTACCCAATTTTGACGAAAAAGTTGCTGCATCATCCCAGGCATATACAAATCTTAAATATGCAATTTCACTTTCGTATTTTCTCGTTTTTTAGGTAGACTGTTAACGCACACAAACAGACCATTTCGTGGGATATTGGAATCAGGATACCTCAAAACGTGTATTTCCGTTGAAAAATGCGGTTCGAGAATTTTCAAGATCACAATACTTTCCTTTAGTATATATTTCATATATAGATAAGTGAAAGTAAAAAACGTAGGCACCCTATATAGGTTAGGTTGATCTACTATTGTTGTAACAGAATAAATAATTAGCAGACGGAATTAAATCCATAATGGAAGAATAGGAGTACTCGAAGCTAAATCGCTCCACTTGATCATTATACGAAAAAACTGGCGTTTCACGGTAAATGAAAGCTCCTATATTTCCTTAGCTGCTTTTTAAAATCTAAATATCGATTTTAATATTTGGCCCAATATAGATACCTATCCTTCCATTACAAACTTCAGAACCATCCAAACCCTCTTGTTTCTAACCTTGCTTCCCCTTCGATCCCTGACAACCCTCTGCTTCTGAAAAGAAGATGGCCTCGAGATTTCCTTTTGTAAATACATTTTTAGAGTGCTACCAGTGGGTAGTATCTCAACAAGTGGTTTCATGTTACTATATTATTTTGTTCAGATTTACTGAATGTATTTTTATTTGTAATACAGTTGTAAATACCATCAATAAAAAAAATTGTTATACTTTAATTAAGACTCTTTAATTTAATTTTATTGTATTCTGCAATCCAAAGAGTTCATAATGTTTAACCGACAGTTCCGCATGAAAAAAAAAAAAGAAAAAAAAGAAATTGTCTTCTGTTTATTATAACAAATACAGTATAACACACAATTCCTGGACCATACGTGTTTCGAAACCGAGAGTGAAAAATGTATCATTATAGAGATTTATAGGTGGCCCTCCAACAGATGATAGATGTTACTACTTCAACAAACCTAGCAGAAGGAATAAGAGGTTTTTATCCCCGTCCTACGCAGCCTATTTCAACCAAACAGACCATTCACCGATCCTTTATTGAGTATCTTTTATCGCCATTATTCATACACATCCTATCCTAATGTTCTTACGCCTCTTTCAACATTGGCTATGTCTGTGGAATAACAACTACACTTCAAATAAAAAAAAAGTTGAATCCGAAAAGTGATGTGATAATTTATAATTCATTTACTAATACTTCCTTATTTTACGTGAAATGTTAAAATAATAAATCCATAAATTTATTCAAAATATCAATAGCCATCAAGATATAGATGAAATAAGGTAATGAATGAATTTAGCCTTTATTATAAAGAGTGAAAATAAAAATAACATTATTTACAAAATTAGTATATACATACTTACAAAGTACAGTAGTATAGTAGTAATGATGACAATAATAAATAATAATTTCTTTCTTGTTAAATAAATATTAATTAACATAATAGTGAAGTTTTTTTTCTTTATATGCCTTATCTGAGGGAGTTTGTTCTGACTTCTAAGGTAATAAACGCCTAAAAATGCATTTTATTTATCTACTGTTTCTTAAAAATCTGTCAATTCATTATAAAGTTTACTCAAATATATATATATATATATATATATATTTTTTTTACTTTTCAAATTAAGCAACTAAGGCAATAAAAAAAAATGAAATAAGTCCTGATTATCTAACACCCTGATATGCAAAATAGTCGACAAAGTTCCTTCTTTGATTATTCAAAACTTCAACATGTTGACCAACTTATCAATGTCAGTAGCTTTTGAGTATGAGAGATGGCCTTAGATTAATCCCTCGCTCTCTCCCCTGGCCTGGGTAAAAGTCCATATAGCCTAAAATGCAAGGAAGGGGAGTACCAAAAAAAAAAATTTTTTGAAATAAACTGGTGAATGACTGCCAGTTTACACATATTTTCCTAATAAGACCCTTCAAAGCGGTACATATAAAGATTAACATTGAATAAATTTTTTTCTAGACCTGAAGTTTTTGGTGGAAGTTATAGATAAAAACCACAAAAACAAGTTGTAAAAGGTCAATATATATATTTTTTTTTTTGCGACTAAAGTTCTATGGAATTTGCCCAACTTAGAATTTTGATTTTTAAATGGTTCGTGTACATAAACACAATTAAAAAAGAGCTTATACCATATTTTTCAAAACATGATCTCCGACCCTCAACTCACTGGTCTTATATTTCTGAAATGTCCGACTTTGTTAAAGCAGCCAAGATTCATTTTACTTAAAATACTCTTTAGTAACTCAGATTCAAACTTTCTTGTTATGGGTGCCATTTTTAATCCTGGCTTCCAAGCTTTAAGAGCGAATAATATTTAAGAATTTTGGATACTCTTTACTAATGGTATTCACTACACCAACTACTGTAAAAATATTTACAAACAGTACACTGTCTTCATTATGATTACAGAACGCGAATACCTTGAGTGACAGTCATAGTTTCGCATTCTTTGTAATTACAGTGATTACAAAATTATTTATATTTAAGTATCTACGGCAATCAGCTTGCGATCTAGGAAACCAGGTGTTGAAATATTTATGGAACTCTTTAAAAAAGTTGCATTTAAATAGTTTCTGTGAAACTTTTTAGTAAAAAGTTCTGAAAAGAAACGGTCCAAGGAACTTTTTGCAATAAAGTTTCAGGTTTATGGTAAAAGTTAAACAGGGGTACTTTTTAAGATCTTAAAAAATGTTCCTTTGAATGATAAACAAAAATAATCAGTAGTTGGACTTAAATTTATGTTATAATTTGTCTTAAATGAATTACAAAGTATCTTAATGTGCCGTTTGTTTGAGTAGCTAATTTCTTTCTTTTTTTTTATCTATGAAATTTACAACTGTACAAATTAATATACATTCAGAAAATGTGATACAAAGAAATAAATGACATGGCGAGGCTTGTAGAGAATCTACCCATTGGTAGCACACCAAGAAGCTAAAAATCAAAGTCGTTTTTTAGATTGACTTTTTCGCTAAATCGAGAGAAATTTTAAATAAATATATATTTTTTTTAATGAAAGTTCTTTAAAGCCTTTACTTGACAAGTAAGTTCTACTACCGAAAGAATTTAAAACTATCGCCAATAAAAATTCAAAATAAAATTAAGATAAATCTATTACGAACTATTATTATGACACCTACACTTCAAATAAAAAAAGTGATGTACAATTTATAATTCAATTAACAATACTTCTTTATTTTACGTGAAATGTCAAAATAATAAATCCATAAATTTATTCTAAATACAAATAGCCATCAAGATGAAAAAAGGTAATGAATGAATT